TCTCATTCTCTCTCTCTCAAATAAATAAATAAAAAATCTTTAAAAAAAAAAAATAATAATAATAATTAATTTAATAGACCCACTGCCAGTTTTCCATGACCCTCCAAAAAATGTCTATCTTTATTCATTAGAATCATATCCAGAAGACCTCTGTTGTTCATGCAATTATGTAAGGCCCTATCAGGAGAGCTTAAATACTTTGATTCTTGGGGACTAAAAATAAATCATACTTAAAAAAGGTTTTTGCCAAGGTGAGGGAAAAATGCCTGGCAGTCTGAATCAAAGAGAATTTAGCTGCAGTTACCTGGGTACCTAAACCACATAGATTAAATGAGTAATAATAGATTATACTCAGTGATGCCTGGGTGGCTAAGTCAGTTAAGCGTCTGCCTTCAGCTCAGGTCATGATCCCAGGGTTCTGGGATCGAGCCCCACATCTGGCTACCTGCTCCGCGGGAAGCCTGCTTCTCCCTCTCCCACTCCTCCTGCTTGTGTTCCCTCTCTCGCTGTGTCTCTCTCTGTCAAATAAATGAAATCTTTAAAAAAAAGAAAGAGATTACACTCAGGTAATAACTCTCCCCCTGCCTCATTTGTCCCTTAACTCCAAAAGCATGAAAGGAAAAATAATTCCATGGTCATACTCAAATAAAACAAACAAAAAAATTCAGTGCTATAATAAAGCTCACTTCAAGACCTTTGAAGATCTGTGACCCCAGAGATCCAAGTCCCTTCAAGGCTGAAAAACCCTTTATATTGAGGAATTGGGGGATGGAAGTTGGGGGGCATGGTGATACACAACTTCTGTCAAACTAAACAGAACTAAAGAGAAAACGCCTAGGGCATGTAATTATTAATGGAATGCAAACATCTGGACAACTCATTTCTCAGTATAATCATGTAAATAAATTCATTAATATCTCTGATCCTGGTTTATTCATGAAACTAAAGGCAGAAGTTCTGCTTATGCTTATAATGTGAAAGCCAAAAGAATAAAACCCAGTCAATAATACAAATAAATGAAAATTAAAAAATAAAAACTGGAAAGAGTATTAACAACTAGAGAGTCGGATAAAATCACAACTTTTCTTGAATGCATCACAAAGCTGAGATCACAGGTCAGCCAAGTAGCCTTAAATCCAAGAAGAATCAGCCCACATTCCCTTCTACCACTCCACATGCATACTCAGGACACTCTCACCTGTAGCAGAGTATAAGAGGAAGGCAAACAGGTAAGAATGTTAGGGCTACTAGAAAGCCCCTGGGACATTCAAACACAATGGGAATTCATACTCAATTTGTAGGCTCTTTCCACAGACCTCCACCAGATGCTCCTGGGAAAGACGGGAGCAGACCAGGAGACTAGAAAGCCTCCCTGAAGAGTACAGGTACAGAGATTAGCCACTGCTGCCAGAAAGGCATGTAACCCTGAAACCATGCAGGGCACAGGTAACCACCCATGTGTATAGGGAAAAGAAAGAAGAAAAAAAACAAAAACTTCTACCCTTAGGGGTAGGTCAGGAAACAGTCCGGAGCACAGTATCCTCTACAGTACAGTAAAGCTGGGGGGAAGGGCCTGGACACTCTGGCAAAGACCAGCAGTAGATAAATACCATGGGGAGAAGGGATAGAAATACTAAGAAAACCCCATCCCGAAGGTCCAGCCACACTGGGCCCACTTAAGATAAAGTCTGGTTTGGAAAACAGAGGATCCCTCCTGCACCCATCTCCAGACTAGCAAGCACTAATAAGCAACAGCAATCTATACTAGGGAAGGAGCAAGAGTATAGAGACCTCCCCCTCTGAGGCACAGCTGCCTGCATTGGCAAGGCAGAAAACAGAGCATAAAACGGGAACACTGAGAAAAACCTTCCAAGCAACCCAGCCCCCATCCTACGCACAAGGTAAAGTACAGAAATTTGAAGCTGGTGGTAACCATAGCAACAACAAAACCAAAACCTAGCTCGACTTCTGACTGGACTGATTCAACACGGTGACAACAGGCATGTGCATTCCCGGGCATAAATACTAGGTACTTTGGCTTCAACTGTTCTACACAAGATGTTTGGCAGTCAATAAAAAATTTTGAGATACATGAAGAAGAAAAAGAACCTATTATCAACAAAGAAACAGAACCGGGGCGCCTGGGTGGCTCAGTTGGTTAAGCGACTGCCTTCGGCTCAGGTCATGATCCTGGAGTCCCGGGATCGAGTCCCGCATCGGGCTCCCTGCTCGGCGGGGAGTCTGCTTCTCCCTCTGGCCCTCCTCCCTCTCATGCTCTCTGTCTCTCATTCTGTCTCAAATAAATAAATAAAAATCTTTAAAAAAAACAAAGAAACAGAACCAAAGTCGGAGATGACCAAAGTGGCCTTTTTTATCAGGGATCTGCCACTGGCAAACCATGAGTACATGCACATACATGGACCAACGAAGAGATTCAAAATGACAAGAGAGAAGAGAGAAGCAAGCACAAGCCTCTCCACCCTGTCTCAGATCCTGATAAAAAAATTTTTTTTTGCCATACAAAAACGATTTTTTAGTGTATTATAAAGTCAGTACATTAAAAAATTAAAACCACAGGGGCACCTGGGTGGCACAGTGGGTTAAGCCTCCAACTCTTGGTTTCAGCTCAGGTTGTGATCTCAGAATCATGAGATCAAGCGCCACATCAGGCTCTGTGCTCATCAAGGAGTCTGCTTGGGATTCTCTCTCCCCTGTCCCTCTGCCCCTCCCCCCAGCATGCATGCATGCTTGGGCACTCTCTCTCTCAAACAAATAAATAAAAAATCTTAAAAAAAATAACCACAACTTCTCATCAAGCTACTGAATAACTCTCATTGTCAGACATGAAAAAAAATTAAAACTTGATGATACTATTTATTACCTATCAAATTGGCAAAGTTCAAAAATTTTAACTATACTACATATGGAAAAGTAGACATGCTAATACAATATACTGGTAAGGCCATAAATTAGCAATATCTCTATGAAGGCAATTTAGTATTACCTATTACCTATCAAAATTATAAATGCACACATCTTTTGATTCAAAAATTCTATTTCTCAGAGTTTATACTACAAATACATTCATAATCTTTGACAAGGTCTATGTACATGATTATTCACTTATAATAGCAAAAGATTGAGAAGATAAATGTGTACCATGGGGGAAACAGGGAAGTGGTTAAATAAATTATTGTATATTCACACAATGAAATATTATATGCGTGTTCATTACGGCATTATTTACAATAGCCAAAACATGGAAACAACCTAAATGTCCATTGACAAATGAATGGATAAAGAAAATATGGTACATATACACAATGAAATAGTATTCAGCCATAAAAAAAGAATGAAATCTTGCCATCTGAGACAACATGGATGGACCTTAAAGGCATTATGCTAAGTGAAATAAGTCAGAGAATAACAAATGCCATATGATCTCACTTATACATGAAATATTAAAAAAAAAAAACAAACTCACAGATGCAGGGAACAGATTGGTGGTTACCAGAGAGAGGCAGTAAGTGGTCAAAAGTACAAAATTCCAGTTATAAAATAAATAATCACGGGGATGTAATGAATAGCATGGTGACTATTATTAATAATACTGTACTGTTGGGGCGCCTGGGTGGCTCAGTTGTTAAGCGTGTGCCTTCGGCTCAGGTCATGATCCAGGGTCCTGGGACTGAGTCCCACATTGGGCTCCCTGCTCAGTGGGGAGTCTGCTTCTCCCTCTCCCTCTGCCTGCCACTCTGCCTACTTGTGCTCTCTCTATCTCTCAGTCAAATAAATAAAATCTTTAAAAAAATAAAAAAATTAAAAATAAATAAAACTGTACTGTCTATCTGAAAGTTACTAAGAAAGTAATTCTTCAAAAATTCTCATCACAAGAAAAGAAACTGTAGCTTTGTATAGTGATAGATATTAACCAGACTTACCGTGGTGAGCATTTCCCAAAACATACAAATACTGAATCATTATGTTGTACAACTGACACTAATGTTATATTTCAATTATATCTCAATAAAAAAAATAACTAGACAGCTCCATCTGAAACAATCTCCAAGATATATTGTTAAGTTAAAAGCAAGCAAGCAAGATGTAGAACAGGATATACAGTTAAATAAGAAACAACAATTCTGACACTAAATGTGTGGATTTTTTTCCCACACCAACCAATTATCTGATATAAGCCAGGTATCCAACAATGGAAGACAGTTCTGATACTATCTACCTGAATAGATCCCACAAGTTAAGGACTCAGTTCCGTAAGACTGCCTCCACCTCAGATGCCAATCACAATTCAAGGCCTCTGGTATTTCTGGCCAACTGGCTATAAATCAAGGGATCCTATGACCCCCTCGACAGACTTCATCATTTCCTAGAATAACTCACAGAACTCAGAGAAACACTTTTTTAACATTTACCAGTTTATTATATAATAGAAGATATGATAAAGGATACAGATGAATAGGTGGACAGGGCAAGGTCCAGAAGAGGCTGGAGTACAAGAGTTTCTGTTCCCGTTGGGTCTGGGTGCACCACCCTTTGGGCAAATGTATATGTTCACCAATCCAGAAACTTTTGGAACCTCATAATACAGGGATTTTTATGGAGGCATGATTGATTATGAATTCAATCTCTAGCTTCTCTGGATGACAGGTGGGGCTGAAAGCTTCTAATCATGGCTTGGTCTTTCTGGTGACCAGCCTCCATCTAGGAGCCCCAAGAGTTCCTTATTAGAACAAAAGATGCAAAAAAAAAATAGAACAAAAGATGCTCCTATCACCCAGAAAATTACAAGGGTTTTAGGAGCTCTGTATCAGAAACTGGGTCAAAGACCAAATATTAGAATAATAGATGCTCCTAGCATCCCTATCACTCAGAAGATTACAGGAATTTTAGGAGCTCTGTATCAGGAACTGGAGGCAGAGACCAATATAAATATTTATTATGTCACAAAGTCCTAGCTCCAACAATTACTACCTCTGTGAACCTAGGCAAGTTACATAATCTTTCAACGCCATGCTTTTCAACTCAAAAAAGAACATGCTAACAACAGCTTGCACATAAAGTAGCTGCGGAACCTAAATCAGCCATTGAATGTCAGTGTTCAATAAATGTTAAGTATAGTATACTATAAGTCATATTTTCCTTTACAACTACAAAGGGTCAAAAAAGCAGAGATGTTTAACTTTCACAACTGTATGTCCCTGTACATCTTTATGGGACAAAAGCATAATGTTTTTTAATCAAAATTTTAAATGAAAACAAACAAAATTAATAAAAAAAATACTTACTTTGTAGCAGCAGCAAAATGTCTGCTGGGCACCTGAACATATACAGAACAAGGATAAAGAGGTGTCTGATAAGCCATCTTGGAAAGACCATGCTTTTGATGATGTATCAAGACTTGAAAGGAAAAAAACATGTAAAATATTAATATTAACCATTACATCCATAATTTTTACATTCTTTTTTTTTTTTTAAAGATTTTATTTATTTATTTGAGAGAGAGAGCACATGAGAGGGGGGAGGGTCAGAGGGAGAAGCGGACTCCCCGCCGAGCAGGGAGCCCGATGCGGGACTCGATCCAGGGACTCCAGGATCATGACCTGAGCCGAAGGCAGTCGCTCAACCAACTGAGCCACCCAGGCGCCCTAATTTTTACATTCTTAATCAATGTTTTTCAAAACAAAAATAGTCAGTATTTTCGGAGTCTCAACCATTCTTTAAAAAGTGTAGTACTAGGGGTGCCTGGGTGGCCCAGTCAGTTGTGTCCAACTCTTGGTTTCAGCTCAAGTCATGATCTCAGGATCGCGGGATCAAGTCCAGTGTTGGGCTCGGTGCTCAGTGTGGAGTCTGCTTCGGATTCTCTCCCTGCCTCCCTCTGCCCCTCCTGCTTGTGCTCTTTCTCTCTCAAATAAATAAATAAATAAATCTTAAAAACAAAAAAACTAAGAGTAGAAACTGCAATTCTTGAAACTAAAGCCAATCAAACATCTAACTGAACAATTCTGCCTTCATTTACTTTTTTGTTTTAGATTTTATTTTTAAGTAATCTCTACACCCAACGTGGGGCTTGAATTTACAACCCCGAGATTGAAAGTCACATGCTCTACCAACTGAGCATGTCAGGCACCCCTGTCTTCACTTATTTTTAACTTAATCCAGTTCAGGCTCAACAGAGTATGTTAGCTCTACTATTATGTAATATGTATATGTATCCTGAATTTCTTTTTAATAATTTAAATTTTAGGGGCACCTGGGTGGCTCAGTCGTTAAACGTCTGCCTTCAGCTCACGTCATGATCCCGGGGTCCTGGGATCGAGTCCCGCATCGGGCTCCCTGCTCAGCAGGAGGCCTGCTTTTCCCTCTCCCACTCCCCCTGCTTGTGTTCCCGCTCTCACTGTGTCTCTCTCTGTCAAATAAATAAATAAATAACAATAATAAAAAAAATTTAAATTTTCTTTATTTACATAATAAACATATATGCTATACATTCATAGAGTTGCCTACGGTACTTCTGAAGAATAACAGCAAAGTGGAGGGAATTGCCTTACCAGGTATCAACTTGTTATGAAGCTATGGTAATTAAGACACTTGGCTATTGGCACAAGTAGAGAAAGACAAACTAATAAAGCAAAGAGAGCCCAGCAACAAACCCATACACATGTGGATATCGGAAATATGACAAATGCTATTACAAATCACTATGCGAATAATTCAATTAAGTGGTGTTAAGGAAAGGGATTATCCATACGGAAAAGAGTATATTTAGATCCCTATCTCACACCACACACACACTCAAACATCAAATCTAGGTGGACTAAGGATTTACATTTGAATGGCAAAACTAAAGACTTTTAGAATGCAGGAAAATATCTTTTTGACTGTTTGGGAGGGAATAATTTCACAAACAAAACCCAAAAGCACTAGCCAAAAAGTGACTTATTAGTGTTAAGAACATCTGTTTATTAAAGAAAGTGAAAGACAAGCCAAAAACTGGAAGAACAGGGGCGCCTGGGTGGCTCAGGTGTTAAGCGTCTGCCTTAGGCTCAGGTCATGATCCCAGGTCCTGGGATCAAGCCCCACATCAGGCTCCCTGCTCAGTGGGAAGCCTGCTTCTCCCTCTCCTGCTCCCCCTGCTTGTGTTCCCTCTCTGGCTGTCTCTCTCTCTGTCAAATAAAAAAAAAAAAAACTGGAAGAACAGAATAGCAACCTATATAACAAAGGATTAGTATCCAGAATATGTAAGATCAACCCAATTAAAAAGTAAATGAAAGAGGGGCACCTGGGTGGCTCAGTCGTTAAGCGTCTGCCTTTGGCTCAGGTCATGATCCCAGGGTCCTGGGATCAAGCCCTGCATCAGCCTGCTTCTCCCTCTCCCACTCCCCCCTGCTTGTGTTCCCTCTTTTGATGTGTCTCTGTCAAATAAATAAATAAAATCTTAAAAAAAATAAAAAATAAACAAAAGAGATAAACAAGTTTCTAATTTAAGAGGAAACATAAATGATACGTGAATGTAGGGGAAAATGCACAATCTCATTAGTAATCACGTAAATATTAATTTAAACCACAATAAAATATCATTCCACCTTGCTATTTAAAGAGTGGTCAGTTGGCCTGTAAATTAAAATTACATCAGCATGTAAATCAACCACATTACTAAGTATATTATTTACTGCAGCTGACAATATTTTTTTTCACAAGACTTCTTCAGTAAAGCAAGCAGGCTTTGATTAAATTGTGGACAGGTAACAGTTTCTAGATGTGATCATTTAAGTAGCAATGTTTTACATACATCAGATTGGTAACTTTTTTTAAAAAGTCTGGGATTGCTGAAAATGTTAAGTAAGGGTAAATTTTACACATAGTAGACAAGAGTATGAATTGGAATACCACTTTGGAAAACAATATGGCATAATTCAATGAGGTGGGCATACACATATCAATGATGCAGTTATTCCACTTCTGGGAATATGCCCTAGAGGAACTCCTGCACATGTGTACTAAGAGACATGCACAAAAATAACAACATCATAACATCAGGAGACTTCTGGGGAAAATCGCAAAGTAAGAGGACCATAAGCTCACCTCATCCTGGGGACACAACTAGGTAACAGCCAATTCAGTATAAATAACCCAGAAAATGACCCAAAGGCTGGCAGAACAGACTCCACAACTAAATGTAGAGAAGAGGCCACTTTGAAGAAGGTAGGAAGGACAGAGATGTGGCTGGGAGCTAAATGGACCTGCAGGACTGTCCATAGGAGGGAGGAACACCATGGGCACAGAGAGGAGAGAGAAACAGACCCTCACACCAGGGAGCCCACACAGGGAAGACCAATCCCCATAACATCTGGCTTTGAAAACCAGAGGAGCTGAATTTCAGGAGTTCTTAACAATCAGCAAGGCTTAACATCTGGAAGTTTAAAAATCAGCAGGCTTATGGGAGAGACGGGAGTGAGAGACAGGAGGGAGCCAGGAGTGAGAAACAGGGAGCCAGGAGGGCAAGAGAAACTGAGTCCCCACCCTTAAAGAGACAGCAAAACAAATAGCCCCCATGCAGATACAGCACAAGAGCAGCAGTTTGAAAAATGCCTGGGGTGTACAAGAGGGAGATTTGTTTATACAAATCTCAGAGCATGTGCTGGAGAGGCAGGGATCTTTGGGAGACCTCTCCAGGAACAAAATTACTAGCAGGTACCATTCTCATGACTCACCCCCAGCATAAACACACTAATACCTTTGGCAACCAGTGCAGCACCAACACCTGCTGCCTAACTTGCTAACAGTGCACTCTCCCTGACCCTGCCGCCATCCCCACGCCCACCCCCTCACCCCCGTTTTCCAGCTGACATGCCCCCTCCAGCCAGACCTCTGATCCAGGTCTCCTCTCACAACAGACCCACGTAAACCTTGCTAACACCATGCATCCCAACCCAGAGCACTTCTGTAGATCTGCCCCCTCCAACACAACCTGCCTCAGTCTCCCGGGCTGGAGGTCCAGTCCTGTCAGCTTGGACCTTGCTGGCACCAAGCACCCTGCCCCCACATTCACCTGCAGTTAGGTGCTACTGCATCTCTGGCAAATGCCTGGTCTGACTCAACTTAAGCCCAAGGTGTCCCCAGACCAGTCCACTAACAACACAGGGACCAAACCCTGCCCACAATAGGCAAAGAGAGCCACTGCAGATGACTGGACTGAAGGCAAACATGGCTCAGCCACAACAACAGGGCACATGCAACACTCACAGGAGACACGCCTGAAGTGCCAGATTCCAATGAACAGGGGACAATGCTCAGTTGGTTAAGCAGTTGCCTTCAGCTCAGGTCATGATCCTGGGGTCCTGGGATCGAGTCCCGCATTGGGCTCCCCGCTCAGCGGGGAGTCTGCTTCTCCCTCTGCCCCTCACCCTGCTTGTGCTCACTGTTTCTCTCTCTCTCTCTGACAAATAAATAAATAAAATCTTTTAAAATAATTAATTAATTAAAAAGAAAGACACATGCAGGTTGAAAGTGAAGGGATGGAAAAGCATTTATCATGTAAATGAAAGTGAAAGGAAAGCCATGGTAGCAATACTTATAATGGACAAAATTGACTTTAAAATAAAGACTGTAGGGCAGTCCGGGTGCAGCCAGACCGAGCTGGGTCGGGCATCCAGGTAATAATTTCAAGATGCCCGGACGTTCCAGTTCCAGTTCAGGTTCAACTGGTTTTATATCCTTCAGTGGTATAGAATCTGCTCTCTCCTCTTTGAAAAACTTCCAGTCCTGTATCAGCTCTGGAATGGACACAGCTTCTGGTGTTGCCTTGGATCTCGTGGAAACTCAGACTGAAGTGAGTAGTGAATACAGTATGGACAAGGCAATGATTGAATTGGCCATGATGGATCGGGAACTAAGCCATTATGTAAAGGCTGTTCAATCTGCAACAAGTCATGTATATGTTTCTCCAAATAAGAGATGATCAAGAGTCCAACCACTGTCATGGCGATGGTCCTTGCAGCTTTGTTGTCACCTTAATTCTGGTGAAAAAGGATAAGAACCATGAAGCTGAATGATAAATGTCCTAAGAGGCTCACATTAGTTCCTGACATTATTAGCAGTCAGGGATAAAATATACATCCTGTGTGCTTTTTGATGAGCAGTCCAGTCCTAGAGCTTAGCAGAAGTAACCTACAGTGTGAGATTCATATTATACTTTGGTGTTTATTTTTTTGTCATGGTGCTTAATTGTGTAACTTTAACAAATTTTAAATCTTTGCCAGATTTTACCTGTATACTGTTCTTTTAGTAGGTACTGCTTCCGTGTGTTAATTTATTGGAAAATCAGAGTATGTGTATTTTCCTTACTTTCCTCTGCTACTATTTTCTTCTGTGCTACGTGCATCTTATAGATTATATAA